TAGCTGGGCATGGTGGCAGGCGCCTGTAGTTCCAGATATTTGGGAGGCTGAGGCAGAAGAATGGCGTGAACCGCGGAGGCGGAGGTTGCAGTGAGCCGAGATTGCGCCACTGCACTCCAACCTGGGTGACAGAGCGAGACTCCATCTCAAAACAAAACAAAACAAAACAAAAAAACCAGAACGGAATATTCAAGGACTGTGGGACAACTATAAAAGGTATAATGTACATATAATGGGAATATCAGAAGGAGAAGAAAGAAAAAGAAGAAATATTTGAAGCAATAAAGACTTTTAAACTCTTCAAATTGGCCGGGTGTAGTGGCTCACACCTGGAATTCCAGCACTCTGGGAGACCAAGGTGGGTAGGTCACCTGAGGTCAGGAATTTGAGACCAGCCCCCGCCAACATGGTGAAACCCTATCTCTACTAAAAATACAAAAAATTAGTTGGGTGTGGTGGTGCATACCTGTAATCGCAGCTGCTCGGGAAGATGAGGCAGGAGAATCATTTGAACTTGGGAGAGGGAGGCTGCAGTGAGGCAAGATCGTGCCACTGCACTCCAGCCTGGGTGACAGAGTGAGACTCCACCTCAAAAACAAAGAAAGAAAGAAAGGGACAGACAGAGAGAGAGAGAAAGAGAGAAAGAGAAAGAAAGAGAGAGAGAGAGAGGGAGGGAGGGAGGGAGAGAGACAAAATGCAAACATATAAAATGCTCAATTAAAACCCCAAACAGCTGGGCAGAGGGGCTCAGGCCTATAATCCCAGCATTTTGGGAAGCTGAGGCAGGAGGATTGCTTGAGCCTAGGAATCTGATACCAGCCTGAAAAACAAAGTGGGTCCCTGTCTCTATAAAAAATTTAAAATTTAGCTGGGTGTGGTGGTGTAAATCTGTAGTCTCAGCTACTCTAGAGGTTTCACTGGGAGGATCACTGGAGCCCAGGAGTTTGAAGCCACAGTGAGCTGTGATCATACCATTAGGTTCCAGCCTGGATTACAGAGCAAGACCCTGTCTGTCTCTAACACACACACGTGCGTGCGCGCGCACACACACACACACAGAGCAGAAAAATTGTGGCAGACATACATAGGAACAGAGAACAAAGGCAACAAATAGAAAGCAATAACGAATACAGTAAGTATTAGTCTAAATTTGTCAATAATCACTTTGAACATCAATGGTCTAACTGCAACAATGAAAAGAGATTGTCAGAGTGGTTCAAAAATATGAGACCCAACTCTATGTTGTCCACAAGAAACCCACTTTAAATATAAATACGCCTATAGATAAAAAGTAAATAAACGGAGAAAAATACATCATGCTAACACTAATCAAAAAAAAGTAGGAGTACTTATTTTAATTTTAGACAGAGCAGACTTCAAAGCAAGAAAAGTTTGTTGGCATAAAGAAGAGCATTACGTAGTGATAAGGGGTCAATTCTCCAAGAAGACAGAACAATCCTTAACGTGTACGTGCTTAACAACAGAGAGTCAAATTATATAAGGCAAAAAACTGATGGAACTACAAGGAAAAATAGATGAATCCATTATTATAGTGGAAGATTTCAATACCCCTGTATCAGATATGAACAGAACTAGCAGGCAGAAAATCAATAAGGACGTAATTGAACTCAACAACACCATCGGTCATCTTAATAGAGTTGCTATCTATAGACTATTCAACAGCAGCAGAATAAACATTCTTCCTAAACATGCAAGGAACATTCGCCATGACAGACCACACTTTGGGCCATAAAACACGCTTTAGCAAATTTAAAATTATATAAATCATACAATATCTACTCTCAGACCACAATGAAATTAAACTAGAAATCAGTAATAGGAAGATAGCTAGAAAATTCCAAAATATGTCGAGTTTAAACAATCCACTTCTAAAAAACACATAAGTCAAAGAACAAATCTCAAGATAAAATTTAAAATATTTTGAGCTACAAGAAAATAAAAACATAACTTACCAAAGTGTATGGGAGGAAGCAAAGTAGTGTTTAGAGGGAAATTTGTAGCATTGAATGTATACATTAGAAAAGAAGAAAGACCTAAAAATCAATGATCTAAACTTCTACCTAAGGAAACTAGAAAGAGAAGAGCAAATTAAATCTAAAGTAAGCAAAAGAAAAGAAATAATAAAAGTTAAAGCATAAACTGGTAAAACTGAAAGTAAAAAAATCAGTAATCACACCAAAAGCTGGTTCTTTGAAAAGGTCAATGAAATCAATGAACCTTTTAGCCACGCTAAGAAGAGAGAGGACACAAATTACTAAAATCAGAAATAAAAGAGGGGACATTTCTACAGATGACATGAACATTAAAAGGATAATAACAAATGCTGTGAACAACTATATCCCACTAATTTCATAACCTAGATAAAACGGAACCCCTTGAAAGACACAATCTGCCAAAACTCACACAAGAAGAAACAATCTAAATAAGCCTATATATATCAAATACATCAAATAAATAATTAACCCTCCTAAAGTACCCAACCCATAATAATTCCCTGGAATAAACTATGACTATGTTGTTGTTTGCTTACTCTCTGGATGGACTGAGGTTTTTCCTTGCTAGGGAGCTATAACTCCACACACTGATTTCCCTCAAACTTTAGGAAAAGTAAAGAGAACTAACAGAGTCCTAAAACTAAAATTATCAACACATTTAAAAAACAGAAATTTCACGGCCCTTCAAATTGCCATTAGTCATGATTGATTGATGACAATAAATCAACCCCTTCTGGAACCCACAGATTATCTCTTCTTGAATTAACAGCCTCCCTCTACCCATGTATTTGAAAATTTTACTTCCAATCCTAGGTTCTACCATTACAGAGTAATATAAATAAATGCTTCATGAGACTTATGATACCTGCCAAATTATCACTAGTAGGTTCAAGTGCATTTTCAAAATACTTGCCTAAACAGACTTTGATTGATCTAAAACCTGGGGATTTGGTCCTTTGGAAAAGGAACCAGAATAAAACTGCTCTTGAGCATTGGTGGAAATAACCTTATCGGGTACTGTTAGCAATTGAGGTAGTGGTTTAAACTCCAAGGTAATGATGTTGGATCCATCGTTTCCAACTAAACATACCACTTTCTTCTGATTGCTGGGCATTTATTCTAACAGAAGACCTAAAACTAAAGATTTTTAGGAATTCTTCAAGAGCTAATATCTGGAGATGTGGACTGCTTTTGCCCAAGACAAAGAAACCACATTATTTTTCTGTTTTTTTAAATTAATTTTTCAAAATTTCAGCTCTACCATTAATCTTGCCTTTTATTGTATTTTGACATCCTCTGATGAACCAGTATTGGTAGGGCAATTATAAGGGTACTTATATAAAAACAAAAATGATCTACAATTGCTTTTGTAGACACAGGGTCTAGGTATGTTGCCCAGGCTGGTCAGGAAAACATGATCTACAAATTTCAATGCTTTAACTGTTAAAAGCAACAAATTACTAATGACTTAACCTTACCACTTTTTAAATTCATTAACCTAAAAAACATACAAAAGAGAGACTTCAATCATTATTTGAGTATGAAATAAAATTAAGTATCATTTGAAGGGACTATAATCAGCCCTCTTAATCATGAAATCTTGGCTTCCTTGAGCTTATCTTTCCATTTATTACTTCAGCATTTATTAGAAGCTTTCATCCATGTATTAACTTGATATTTACTAGGAGCTTCCATCAATTTATTAAGTTCATCCATTTATTACTAATATGTTCCAAATAATGTGTTAGACAGTAGGATATGATGACACAGGTCTTTGGTGTTTCAGTTTTGTGGATGCAGGCAAGTAAACTATAAAGAGAAGTAATATGGTACTGGGTGCTCTGATACAGGTATGAAGAGAGAGTGTGGGGATAGATAAGAGTAGCCAGTTCTTTATAATGTGTGTGTTTTGGGTGAGATTCAGGAGAATACTACAGGGTGAAAACATCGGTGGAACAGAAAAAAATTTCACAAACTCACAGTTGCAGAATGGCTACAGATCATATAGGAAATGAACCACATACTTCTGTATCTGTAGTCCTCTATGTTGTGAAAAGATTGACCTTTTTCAAAACAGGTCAAGGAATTTGGTTATGTCAATCACAAAGTTGCCTCTTTTTTCCTTCTGACATGGTAAAAGAAATAAAACAATCCCATAGGATGTGTTTGGTTGGCCATAGTATATTGATTTATCTTAACCGTCTCAAAACGCATGTCAAGGACACCACTGAGCCTTCTGAGTTCCATTAGAAAAATTGGGTAGTTTGGAAGTGTTCTAAATTGGACCGTTTGGGGTTTCTGTTGGAGCAACTTTCCCATTTACATCTTGGAACAGAGCCTTTTGAATATAGCCCTTCGGGATTGGTGGGGAGAAGGGATCGCGATGGAAAAAGTCATCATCCAAAGAATGAAGAAGGAGGATCCAACATTTAGGATATTTTATTGACGTGCTAGGCGCGTTTACCTTATCTTCGTATTAACCCCATTTTCTTCATTAACCAATTGATGCTGTGAAAAGCTATGTAACTTGACCAAGGTCAAACAACAACTAACAAACAGCAGTACCCAGAACTGTTTTTTTTTTTTTTTTCTGCTGGACTCGGTCTTTTCCACTCAAAACCAACAAAAAACCAAAACTTGTTTTTTTCCACATCAAAGGCAAACAACCCAAACCCCAACCCCAAGAGCCCCATCCTTTCAAAAGGGCTTCTCCGGATCACTAAGTCCTAGAGGTCTTTGGCTAGGCCTGGGTCCGATCTAGATAGGAAGGTGATTCTAGTGTTCCACAAATCCTTGCCAAATTCCATCCCGGCCAAAGCAGGGGCCCAGGAGCCTCTGGTCGCACCCGAGGCAGGTCGTTAAATACTCAGGGCACGCGCTGCGGATGGAAGTGCTGACCCACGGCTCAGGTACGCGCACACCTGTCGCCGCTGGGTGCGCGCCGCGGGGGACTGGGTACGTGCTCCGCGCGCGCGCGCGCCCGACAAAGTTCCCCGTACGTGCGCCGTACGTGGGCGCGGTGCCCTAGCGCTCAGCGTTTCAGCGAGTGAGTGGGCTCCATGCCGAGTTGAAGTCTGGGAGGGGCACTTTCCCAGGCCATCGCGGCTCCCCCTGGCGGCGGACGTGCCGCGCTGGAGGGGCGCAGTCAGGCGTTCTCCGCGGGCAGCCAGCGGCGGGGCCTTGCCTTATAGCGCGGGGTCCTCGGCGGCCTGGGTGGCTACTGCCCCTGCTGCTGTCGTAGGCGAGGACGGCTGTTAGTGCTGCTGCTGTTGGTTCGTCGCGGCGGCGAAGGAGGAGGAGGAAGAGGGCGAGGCGACAGGGGAAGAAGGAGGCAGGCGCGGCGGCAGCGGCGGCGCCCCGGGCCGGCGGAGGCGAGGGGGGGGAAGATGGCGGACGTGCTTAGCGTCTTGCGACAGTACAACATCCAGAAGAAGGAGATTGTGGTGAAGGGAGACGAAGTGATCTTCGGGGAGTTCTCCTGGCCCAAGAATGTGAAGACCAACTATGTAGTTTGGGGGTAAGTCCGGCATGGCTGTGCCAGGGGTGGCAGGGCAGAGTTGGGCGCCCCCAGGCGACCTCTTTCTTAACCCCTCCCCCCGTTTCCCCTGGGGATGGGATAAAACGGGTGTTCGGGGAGAAGAAAGTTTCTCTCTAGAGCAGAAGTTGCACTTTTAGGGTAAGGAAAGAAGGGGCGGAGCTCTAGAGCAGTTCATCCATTTAAATTTTTGAGAAGCCCAAAGGAAAGGTACCGTGGGAGTTTTTGACTTTTACAGTTAATTTTTACCAATAGGTATCGTGTACCAGCGAAGTGTGGGGCTGGTGCACAAGGATACCTGAACATAGGTGCACAAAGGAGCACACCGTCTGGTGCCGTGGTCGCCTCTTTTTGTTCTTTATTTTTTCTCTCTTCCAGGCTGCTCCTCTGGTCCTTGCAACTCCTAGTTTATTTCATCTCCTTTCGTTGTTGGGGAGGGGGTTATTCCTGTAGAAGAGAGAAGGGAATCAACTCTGAAGTTAGGACCGGAAAGAAATTTGGTGAATTGGGAAAAGTCGCTAAAGTTTGTGTTAAAGAGGTCTTCAGGAGTTGATGAAATGAGTGTGCTTTTCAGATCTAAGAAATAGATGGTGCGTGTGATTTTCGAAAGTGTATTTTAAAGGGAAATGTTTTGGAATGTTAGTCCATGTGAAGTTTTATCAGTTTAAGTCATTCAGGAAAACTTATAGAGACGGGTCTAACAGTCATTAGAGGCCTTTTTAATGATGTCACTGTCATTGGTGCGTCGCTTGTAGAATTAGAACCTTGAGCTAGAACTTCCCTACTCATTTTGTTTCTTTGAATGGAAGCTTTGTGAAGAGTCGATGAAAAACTAGGGAAATTTAGTTTGTTGGTTGGCATTTATTTATTTATTTAGTTTTGAGAGGGAGACTTGCTCCGTCGCCCAGGCTGGAGTGCAGTGGTGTGATCTTGGCTCACTGCAATCTCCGCCTCCTGGCTTCAGGTGATTCTCTTACCTCAGCCTCCTGAGTAGCTGAGATTACAGGCCCCCGCCACCATGCCCTGCTAACTTTTGTATTTTAGTGGAGATGTGGTTTCACTATGTTGGTCAGGCGGGTCTCGAACTCCTGACCTTAAATGATCTGCCCACCTCTGCTTCCCAAAGTGCTGGGATTACAGGCGTGAGCCACCGCGCCCTGCCTGTTGGTTGGTTTAAAATTTTTTTTGTCTTATGGTTTAATTAGCTTTATAAAATGTTGATCAAATGACATTCTGAGTTTCTGGTGTTTTACCCTTTCAAATGATTTGCATAGATAGAATTACATTTGGTTGGATTTTTAATTAATTTTTTTTTCTTTAAACAATGGCTTAAGGAGAACCTAGGGTGTGAAGTGGTTCAATCTGAGGATTAAAAAAATTCCTAAGACTCTGATTTCTACCTCAAAGGAGGTTAATTTAGTCTGAATAGAGGAGATTAAACAGATAAGTTGATGTGAAATGATTTCTGTAATAGTTTGTGAAGACAGCAGTCATTTCTAGTTGGAGTTATTTAGGGAAAGTGCCATAGAATTGTCTTTGGCAAGTTCACATCCAACAAAGTTTTCTTGAATGATTGAATGAACAAACAGATAAGCTTTAAAGAATAGATAGAAATTTTCTGGGTGAAATGATGGGTTAAGTCTTCCAAGATGAGTGAACTGTATGCTTAAAGGCATAAAGAACTGGAAAGTAAATGTGTTGACAGCAATTCAGTGAAGCCAGTGTAAAAGGAATGCTTAGTACAGTAGATTTTAAACTTTTTCAACAGTGAATCACACCAAGAAATTATTTTTATTTTCTATATGTGCACATACACACGTAAATATATACAGATATAAAACACAAAACAATGCTTACTCTTCTTATTGCATGCAGTGCATTTTATTATTTTTCTCTTCTATTCTGAAAATAGAAAAAATATGGTTGTTAACTGTTTATTGGGTTTCATAGTACAATAATTGATAGTGGTGTGTGGTTTGAAATGCATTGGTTTAGAGGAAAAGTGGGAGTAGAAGCTACAAAAGTAGGTTTAGGGCTGATTATAGTGGGCCATATTCAGACGGATTCAAAGATACAGAAGGGACAAATGTAGTAGAAAGGGTAGGATTGGAATGCGGTAATATTGGTACCTGCGTTAGAGATCTTGCACCGTTAGTAGACTACATTGTTTTATCACAGATAGAATAGCATTTTGGTTTTACATTACTGGTCTAATTTGAGGGATGCCCTAACAGTTATACCCCTGAAATTCTGTGTTGTGTTTACTGTAAGAATGTGAAGGATGTTGTTCAGCCGTATCTTATTTAGCAAGAGCCATAGGATAAATTTCTTTCACATTTAGCTCCAGTGATGATTGTGCTTCTTCTAAGCAGTTTAATTGTTTTCTCTTATGGATCCTCTTCAATATGGATCTGGTTAGATTTCTCTATTGATAAAGCCCAGAGGCTAATTTGGGCCTGATTCTAAAAAGTGTGTAGTACCTTAGAGTATGAATTTTTTGTATTTTCCCTACTTCTTGCTTTTTGTCATTGCCTTCCTTTGTGTTTCTTTTGTGATTATGACAGTCTATTCATTATTAGATTTTATGCTTTTTTTGGTAGCTATGTTGAACTCATTGTTAGATAGCAAAGTTGTGTAGATAAATGAATCCAGCCTGAAGAGTTGAATTAGAGTTGTGAGTAAAATCCTTGCCTTAATTATTTCAGGACTGGAAAGGAAGGCCAACCCAGAGAGTACTACACATTGGATTCCATTTTATTTCTACTTAATAATGTGCACCTTTCTCATCCTGTTTATGTCCGACGTGCAGCTGTAAGTAGAATTCATTTTACTTATCTATTTATCAGTTTTATTTTTATTTATTTAAGAGACGGGGTCTAACCCTGTTGCCCAGGCTAGAGTACAGTGGTGTGATCATAGCTCATTGCAGCCTTGAACTGCTGGGCTCAAGTGATCTTCCCACCTCAGCCTTCAAGTAGCCAGGACTACAGGCCTGTACCACCATATCTGGCTAATTTTTTTTTGTTGTTCTTAAAGATGAGGGTGTCTTGCTGTGTGGCATAGGCTGGTCTTGAACTCCTAGCCTCAGTGGATCCTCCTACCTCAGCCTCCCAAAGTGCTCGAATTACTGGCATGAATCACTGTGCCTGGCCAATAATTCATTTTAATACTTTTTTTTTTTTTTTTTTTTTTTGAGATAGGGTCTGGCTCTGTTGCCTAAGCTGGAGTGCATTGGTGTGATCTCGGCTTACTGCACCCTCCCCTTCTCAGGCTCAAGCCAGCCTCCTACCTCAGTCTCCTGAGAAACTGGGACTACAGGCATGGCCTACCATGTCGGACTAGTTTTTGTATTAACACTTTTTTTTTTTTTTTTGGCTTCATGGTAGTAGGTATCATTTGGAATGGATAGCTTTCTTCATGGGTTTCAAATCAAAAGAATGAAAGGTTTGTATGAATGTCTCCAGGAGAGTCAGAACTAGGCTACTGTGTGATTTACACAGACTTTTTAATCTGTGATATTTTTTCATGTAAAGTGTGGGTAATGTTTATAACAAAGGAAGTTTTAAAGGGATTTTTAGAGCCAGGCTTCTTAGTGCACACTGGTAATCCCACCTGCTTGGGACTCTAAGGTGGCAGGGTTGCTTGAGCCTAGGAGATCAAGACCAGCCTGGGCAACATAGTGAGATGCCATCTCAAGAAAAAGAAAACTCAAAATGCTAAAGGTATTTATAGAGATGTTTAGAAAAACTTTTAAGTGTGTGGAAGGACCCTGTTACTTCAGAACTCTTGTTTAATCTCAAGAAAACTTTTTTTTGGTTGTAAGGATCAAGATTAGCAGACATTTAAAAAAATTCTTTCTCAATCAGTTTTGTGCAGCTGTTTTAATACTCTGGAGAAGTTCATTTGTTTTTAGTTTTGCTTGCTTTCTCAGTGTTTGAAAATTTATTACTCAGAGGAAATCTTTGGAAACAACTTGAAAAGAACCGATTTCATAAACTATGATGATGAGATTCTTCATCTGTAGGGAAGTATCATTAAGACCTAAATTATAGCAGTATATTATAATTGATAAGTAAATAAGATTCAGATGTATTTGGATAGGATAGCTGTATGACATGGAAAAGTGCTATAATGCCCACATAAAATGGCTTAAAAGATATTTAATTTTTTTAATGAGCTTTTCCCTCAGATTTTTTTTGGTAGAGTTGAACATAAAATTTTTTTGAAGATATAATTGAAATAATTAAAAGTCTGCTTTTAATATTTGTTCCTTTTGCTAACTTACAAGTATATACTTAAAATTAAGTGTGAAATGTATTTATAAATAACTGCTTCTTCCCATTTCTTATAGTTCTTAAAACAATTTTCTTAAACTTTTCTTATAGTTCTTAAAACAATTTTTTAAAACATCATTGTGTCTGTCATCACTGGAGCTGCTTTTTGAGTTACCTAACACAGTTGCTGGGTCACATTAAGCTGTGTGAAACTTAACTTTTGTAACGCTAACCTCGCTCCCAACTAGAAATAGTTAAGGTTTCTGGCTTATGTATCTTTCAAACAGTAACTTGTTATTTGAAGCAACTAAAAGCCGGGTGTGGTGGTGCATGCCTGTAGTCCCAGCACTTTGGGAGGCTGAGGTGGGAGGATCACTTGAGCTCAGGAGTTCAAGACCAACCTGGGCGGCATAGGGAAACTTTGTCAAAACAAAAAATAAAAAAAGGTTAGTCAGGCGTGGTAGTGTGCACCTATACTCCCAGCTAACTACTCAAGGGGCTGAGGTGGGAGGATCACTGGGCCCAGGAGGTCGAGGCTGCAGTAAGCCATGATTGTACCAATGCATCTATCCTGAGTGATAGAGCAAGACTCTGTCTCAGGGAAAAAATGTGTGTGTGTGTGTGTGTGTGTGTGTGTGGGGGCGGCGGGGGGCGCGAGGGGGCGCGCGCGGGGGGGAAAAGAGTGGGTCCTACGCACAGAAAACAGCAAATAACCACCAAGTTAATTAGGAAAACAACATTCCTCAACTTCAACAGAACTTATGGGAAATTTTAGAAATCCTACTTCCCTTTCAATCTGGGCAAATTAACTTAAGAAAAAATAAGAATTATTAAATCTTAAGCACTGAGGGGGCCAAGTCCCACAGAAAACAATTACCAGCTTATCAAGTTATACGTACAAACCAATTTCCCCCAAAACAGATCTAAAATCTAAGCCCAAACTATCTGAAAAATCTTTGTTTTATACTAAAATGAAATGACTTATTCCAACACAAACCAATCTGTAAGAAATACCTAATTTATCTTTTAAAAGATTCTGAGTTAAAATAACCTTAAAGGAGGGAGCTGGTGCCTTATTTTGTTTATCCATTATTTTCCCAAGTAGTCCCCGCATCTAACACTTTATTTTTTTTAATATTAACACTAAATATTGTATTTCCCTGCTTCAGGGTGAAAATGCAGAAGCCTATGGTTTAAATACAAAGCCCCACTAAATGACCGGGATAACTTTTCTCAAACTGCCACCACACACACGAC